CGATATAACAATCAAAGTCCAGGAGCTCATTTGAGATATCGCAGAATACGAGTCACTGCCTCCCAATGTGGTACTCTAGGACATCTCATAAACTGACTTACTATACTGACTGCATAGGGAATATCTAGCCGAATAATAGTGCGATAATTAAGCTTCTCAACCAATTTNATTAGGTCGATATAACAATCAAAGTCCAGGAGCTCATTTGAGATATCGCAGAATACGAGTCACTGCCTCCCAATGTGGTACTCTAGGACATCTCATAAACTGACTTACTATACTGACTGCATAGGGAATATCTAGCCGAATAATAGTGAGATAATTAAGCTTCTCAACCAATTTGTGATACCGACCCGGATTCTCAAACAATGCACCATCATTCATCAATAATTTTTGATTCGGATCCATAAGAATATCAACTGGTCTACCACCTACCTAGCAAACCTGCTTCCTTAAACATGTCAATTACATATTTCCTCTGGGATAAACAAATACCCTGTTTAGATCGAGTCACCTCAATACCCAAGAAATACCTAAGTTTTTCCAAATCTTTAGTATGAAATTGATCTTGTAAAAATATTTTTAACTTGACAATCCTCTCAGAATTATTTTCAGTAATCACAATATCATCTACATAGACCATCAATAAGACATATCTAGCATTTGTCTGTCTATGAAACACAGAATGATCTATCTGACATCGAAGAAGACCAAATTTTAAAACTGCATCTAAAAACTTATCAAACTATGCCCTCGGTGACTGTTTCAAACCATACAAAGATTTCATTAACTAACATACATTCTTACCATACTCCCTCTGAGCAGTAAACTCAGGTGGCTGCTTTATGTATACCTCTTCAAACAAGTCACCATGTAGGAAGGTATTCTTGACGTCTAACTAAAACAAGGGCCAATCAAGATTAGCAGCCAAAGAAATCAAAATACAAACAGAGGAAATTTTGGCAACAAGAGAAAAAATCTCCTCATAATCAACACTATAAGTCTGAGTAAAGCCCTTTACAACAAGCGGGGCTTTGAAAACGCTCCACAGAACCATCTAGATGAAATTTAACAGTATCCACCCAACGACAGCCAACAGTTCGTTTACCATGGGTAAAGGAACGAGATCTCAAGTCCCATTATAATGTAAAGCATCCATCTCCTCCTCCATAGCTTTTCTCTAACCCAAATCAGATAATACATCCTGTAAATCGTTAGGAATAGATATAACAGATAATTGGGAAGTAAAACAAGAGAAGACAAAAGACAAGACATAATATGGAACAAAATGAGAAATGAGATGATTAGTAACACACGAACGAGTACCTTTGCGAAGAGCAATATGTAAAGAGTCTAAATTACCTGATGTACCAGGATCAGAAGGCGGCAAAGAAAACGGTATGGGCACCTCAATCGATGGGCGAGGATGGCGAGAGTAGACACGAAAAGGTAAAGTGAATGATAATATAGTGAACAGCGGAATATCTGAAGATGAGGAAAGAGATGGTGGTACAGGAGATGATCCAAAAATCCAGATCCAAAGGGTAAGAAGGTGCTGGAAAGTATGGAACAGATTCTTCAAACGTGACATTGGCACTAGTAAAGTATCGGTGCAAAGAAAAACTGTAGCAACTATACTTCTTCTGCGTGCGGGAGTAACCAATAAATACACATTTGGTAGCTCGAGGGTCAAGTTTGTCAAATTCAGGACCCAAATTGTGAACATAATAGACACAACCAAAAACCTTAGGAGTTAGAGAAAATAAGAGCTTACCAGGAAAAATGACAAAATATGGACTTTACCCATTTAACACAGAGGATGACATACGATTAATAAGCTAATAAGCAATAAGAACAACATCCTCCAATAATATCGGAGAATATTCATCTAGAATAACAGGGCACGGGTGACTTCCAACAAATGACGATTCTTGAGTTCAGCAACACCATTTTGTGGAGAAGTGTAAGCACAAGAAATCTGATGAATAATGTCAGTTTTACTAAGATAAGCTGAAAAAGGATTAGATTCATATTTTTGAGCATTATTGGAACGTAAAATACGTATACGACAACCATACTGAATTTTTATTTTCTTACGAAAGGTCTCAAATATAGAGAATAATTCAGGCCGAGCTTTCATTAAAAACAACCAAGTCACATGAGAATAGTCATCCACAAATGTCACAAAAATAAGGATATTTATTAGATAAAATATTCTTTATGGGACCCCATACATCAGAATGTACTAATTCAAATGGACTAGACATACGATTATTAACTCTAAATTGAAAAATCACACAATGATGCTTACTAAGTTGACAAGCTTTACAAGACAAAGACGACACATAGCTAAGGCTGGGAACTTAGCGCATCAAATTCTGGAGAGAGAGATGTCTAAAACGACAATGCCATTGAAAAGGAGACAACGAGGTCTGTAGAGCCTGAATAGGTGAATCAAAGTCAAGGTAATGTAGGCCATCAGCTTCATGCCCCGTACCAATCTTCCTCTTCGCCTTGAGATCCTACAAGACACAATAAGAGAGATAAAATGTTACAGAACAAATTCAGAGGATGAGTGATCTTACTAATGAAAATTAAACTAAAAGGAAACTGAAGAACAAATAACATGAAGATAGTGACATATCAGGACTCAAGTGAGTAGTCCTCAGACCTGAAACTTTAGAACATGTACCATTAGCAAGAGTAACATTACGTGTGGAAGTAGCAGGCTGATAAGTAGAAAAATATCAGACGCACCAGTCATGTGGTCAGATACACCAGAGTCTATGATCCAGGGACTAAGAGTGGAGGACAATAAACAAGTGGAAGTAATACCTGACTAGACAAAAGTAGCAGTGGATGGAGATGAGACAGATGGAATAAAGGACCTGGGATCTTGCTTGAGTTCTATAAGACTGCAACAAATTGGAAATAAGAAGTGCTACAATGCTGGAAGGCTGAACCGACCTAGAAAACCGTTGAATTGGACTGGTTTAGCCCAAAAGAGGCTGCTGGAAGGCTGAACTGGGCCTAGAGAATTGCTGAATCGGACTAATTAGCCTTCTGGATCACTAAACCGGGCCTGCTAAGTTCGTTGGACCTCTGAATCGGACCGGCTGGACTTGATGGAAGACAAAACCGGAGCGGATAGTTGCTCTGGACCGCTGAACCGGTTCGAAGATGAACTGGGATTGAGCCAGTTTAATGCTAAACCGTGCTTGGGTTGGATCCCTTCTTCTTCGTTAATTAGGGTTCTGAGAGAACTCTCTAGTCTTTGATGGCGCTACACACCACGACTACCACTAGGCGGCAGACCACCACGAGCAACATTACCACCACGAACGATCACGACCACATCACCACAACACCACACCAACAGTCAACGATGGATAGAGACCACACTACCCCAAGACAGTACCACCACACGCCACCACAACTCACAACAACACCACCACAAATCAACTACAACAACTGTATTACCACCACCACTGTAGCTTCGACACAACTACACCGCCATGACAAACACACCAAATGATAGCAAACGATGATCAACAGTACACAACCACAACAATTAGAATTAATTTATTCAAAAAATATATTTAGAATTGTTCATGCTCTGATACCATATTAAGTGTGGAGGATTAACACAATATATTAGAGAGGAACAAAGAGAGGTAAAAAACATAACTTATCTCTCATACATCACTTGTATTTATAATTAACCTACAATAATAAAAATTACACATATACCCCCTAACTATTAATATTTTATACATACTACCCTCTTATTCTTAACAACAAGAAAATAGAGAAAATTTTTATTCTTAAATAAACGGGTTGATGGTGTCAATTTTGGGTCTGATGGTTTGAGTTGAATATGAGCCGTTTATATTTTGCATTCGTGTCAGGTCCTTTTGAAGTTCGTGTTGAGTTATAATTAAGTTAGTGTCATAAAATTTGTGTCGAGTTCGAGTCATCGTGTTTACTCGAAAATTTTCACCCTTAGCTAAGATGATTTTTTTTTATATTAATTTTTTATTTTAATTTGTTTTAAAAAATATAAATATATAAATAAAATTAATGTATACATAATATATGTATATATCAAAAGATATATAAACAAATAAGATATATTTCAATATAAATAAATAACTTTTTATCTACTTTCCTTTCGATTTTGAAGGGATTGATTTTAGTAAGTTAGAAGAAAAACTCATCCATCCACTTTTCTATCATTTCTTATCAAACATGATGTTTTATCTATCCCCCAACTTCCCACCTTTCTAACTTTCCATCCTTCAATTTTTTCATCGTATCAAACGGAGCATTAAACTTGGTTCCAGTACATTTAGGTTAAGTTGGTTAGGTCATATGTAATTATGTGTATTTTTTAAAATATCAACAACATAATATTAAAATATCAGATCAAATAAAATTAATCTCCAATTTTACCCCAAAGTTGTAGGTCTTGGACTCTAGACTTTCACTTAATCACTCAAAAATATTGAATTTGGGTTCTAATATTTGTTGGAACACACTATTAATTCAATAGTTGTAATAACTTATGTTAAAAAATTAGGCCTCAATAGAATTATTCTAATAAACTATCTATCGGAGAAAAAGTGGAAGTTGTTGTTTTTGAAAATGGATTTCAATATATTAAGTCGTTGAAGTGTTTTGATTCGTTGCTAATATATGGTGATGAATCCCACAAAGAGAGGGAATGTGGATGTTTGAGAGATTTAAGGAACTAGAAACCCATGTGGACTAATAATACATTAAAATCCATTCAGGATAAGGATTTTAGGAACAATAACAATATTAATATATGTAAACTTATAATAGAGAGAGAGTGAGTGAATCCATTAAGGAAAAGGATTTTGGGAAATTTTCTTTAAATAAGTGTTGGGGTTTGTTGGCTCTTCAGATTTTCAGAGCTTTCGTCAGGTTTTACTGTTGGAGGAAAGGAAAGCTATAGCAAGCAGCAAATTAAGCAACACATGCCTTCCCAAGTTATAGCCATCGACGAAGGGGACCAGGGGTTCCCTGCCAAGCTCACAACACAGGTCGTCGTTTGCTCCATCATAGCAGCCTTCGGTGGTCTCATGTTTGGCTACGACATTGGTATTTCCGGTACGTCCCTCTCAAAACTGAATTTTTATTCATCTTTTTGTTGAAAATTGTGGTGTCGGCCATTGATTTAAAGGAGTAATATTGAGATAAATAGTAGTTGCACCACAATGAATAATGCTTTAAGTTAGATTAAACCCAAAGATTTTGATCTCCCTTTCTTTGTGCTTTAAATCTTCATGTTTTTTTTATTATATGTTATGATTCAATGATGATCATGTAATTGTGGTAGTTGTGTCAATCATAAGTCAATTTAGACTATTGATTTATTTAGAAATTGTATAATATTCGCTCGAGTTTTGACTTATAATTTGAACCATGATTTTGTCTAGTTTTTACTTTTGGCCTTTAATCTTTGTGTTATCAAGTTATACCTTGTGATTCAAGGATGATCATGTTGAGTTAATCATAAGTCAATTTAGACCCAATAAGATTCACTCGAGTTTTAAACTATATACAATTTGAACCATGATCTATACTTCAAATTCCCTAGGATTTTGGCCAGTAAATCATGATGATGTGATTATTAATAATTATTATGATGATGCTGTTAATTAGGAGGAGTGACATCAATGGATGATTTCTTGAGAAAGTTCTTCCCAGACGTTTACGTGAAGAAGCACCACGCAAAAGAGAACAACTACTGCAAATATGACAACCAATATCTTCAGCTATTCACATCGTCACTCTACCTGGCTGCCATAGTTTGCAGCTACTTTGCTTCAATAACTTGCAAAAAGATTGGACGAAAACCTACCATGCAACTCGCCTCTTTCTTCTTTTTTGTGGGTGTCCTTCTCAACGCTGCCGCTGTAAACCTGCCTATGCTTATCGTTGGCAGGCTTTGTCTTGGTGCCGGAGTTGGATTTGGTAACCAGGTATTTATTTTTCTTTATATTTTATATTTTATATTTTTTGGGATCTAAATTAGGAGCAATTATTCAATAAAAGTTTGGTCTTACTTCTTACCGGTAACATCTACTGCAGGCAGTGCCACTATTCATATCAGAGATTGCTCCAGCAAAGTACAGAGGAGGCCTCAACATCTGCTTTCAAATGCTGATCACAGTAGGCATTTTGTGTGCAAACATAGTCAACTATGCAACTTCCCGAATCCACCCATATGGCTGGAGAATCTCCCTTGGCGGGGCTGCAATTCCAGCCATTTGTCTTGGCCTCGGCTCCCTAATCATCGACGAGACGCCCACGAGTCTAATCGAGCGTGGGAAGAAAGAGAAAGGTTTACAGGTTCTTAAACGGATACGGGGTGTAACTGATGTTCAAAAAGAGTACGAAGAAATCCTACGCGCTACCGAAGTGGCCAACCGAATCCAGCACCCTTACAGAAACCTCATCAAACGGTCCAGTAGGCCTCAGCTTATCTGTACCACTCTTCTTCAAATCTTCCAGCAGTTCACTGGCATCAATGTGATCATGTTTTATGCTCCGGTGCTGTTTCAGACGATGGGGCTTGGCAGCGACGCCTCTCTGTTGTCGGCTGTGGTCACTGGTTCGGTCAACACAGCAGCCACTTTGATTGCAATATTTTGTGCTGATAGATTTGGAAGGAAGATTTTGCTTGTGGAAGCTGCCGTTCAGATGTTTATTGCCCAGGTATGCAAAATTAGCAATTCTAGCGTTTATTGTGTGTCACGTTGCATTCAAACATAAGCAGAGTTTCTTGCTAATCACACATTTTTATTCAACATGACTCAAATTTAGGCAATCCTAACTTAAGAATGAATGATTTTGTTTTGTTTGTTTGTTTGTTTGCAGTGTATTACAGGTGGAATTCTTCATGTGTATTTGCACTCTACAAATGCTATACCACAAGTCTATGCAAAGATAGTACTGGCTATGATCTGTGTTTTTGTGGCTGGCTTTGCCTGGTCATGGGGTCCCTTGGGTTGGCTGATTCCGAGTGAAATCTTCCCACTGGAAACCAGAACTGCTGGTTTCTTCGTCGCAGTTAGCATGAACATGTTATGCACCTTCATCATCGCTCAAGCTTTCCTCTCCATGTTGTGCAGCATGCAATCGATGATCTTCTTCTTCTTTGCAGTCATCATTGTTATAATGGGCATTTTTGCCCAATCCTTCCTGCCGGAAACAAAGGGAATCCCGGTAGACGAGATGAACGAGAGAGTATGGAAAACACATTGGTGTTGGAAGAGGTACTTTGATGCCGGTTCTGGAGATCAGGAAGGAGAAGTACAAGAAGTTCAAGTAAAGGACTAAGAGAGAGACATATGAAGAATCCTAGTAGGCATAAATGCTTCTAATGATTTTAGAAATTTATGTTACTTTTTGAATAAGATGACACTTTGTTGAGGTGGATAGATCTCATAATATAAAAGATTTGGAGAATTCTCTATTACAATTGTCAATTCTAATCCTAGCCCTCACACCTTTACATCCCCTAATATTCAAGTCCCAAGTTCATCACAACTATTCTTAAGTTAGGATTGTTGAACAAATAAAAATTTTAAAGCATATCACCAAAAAAAAAAAAAAAAAATTAAAATGATAACTCAAAATTATTCACGTACAATACACGTGTGCATTAGTTAATAATAATGAAGTGGAAAAAAAAATCTAAGCAGCTTGAGAGGACGAAATAACTTTGGCCACCTTGCACTACACTTAATCAAGGCAGTGGAAAAATTGAAGAAAAATTCTTTGCCAAAGGGTTGCTAGTAGAGTCTTGACAACTTCCTAATTTCAGTTAAAAACTCATTTTGTTTTTTTAGATGATTGGAAATAAAGTAAATTGAAACAAAAAAATTAATTCGTTTTCCTGGATGTTTGAAGGTATCAAGCTAACCTTGATAAAAATTTAGGAGTTGTTTCTCTTATAATAAGAAAATAAAATTTTAATGCAAAATAGTTCTCGTGCAAATGCACGTATACACCAACTAATTACTTCTAAAAGTCCCTTAATATGAAAACTTGTATTTTCCTATTTTAACCTTAATAAACTCTTTAAAGACAATTTCATCATTAGATTTTGAAAACTTGAGAAACATGGGATCATTTCTTGTCCACTTACTGAATCCTTTAAAGGGCAATAGATTAATGAATTCTTTAAAGTGCAATAAAATAAAATTTTAAGAGATGAATAATGAAAATATTAAAAATAAACTTGTTAAATTTTCCTCAATCTATATCTATACTATTTCTTAATGTCAAGATCTATATGAAAAACTTTTGAATTTTATTTTTACCCTTAAAAAAATGAGTAAGAGCAACATTATCTACCATTTACTAACTTATTAATATTAATCATAACATATTAATATATGCTTCACCTTTTCCTTTTCCTAACCCTCCACTCAACAGAAACTGAAGAGGTAGGTCTTTCCCTATTCCTAGCAAGTGACAACACCATCTAACATACACTAGTTAGGCTATTATTTTTATTAAACCACCTCTAAATTTAAAGTACAAACTAAATCGATTAGGTGAACAAGAGTGGGGCGGAGAAGGCCAATTGATTAAACTCCACATGCTTCAAAAAGATTGTCACCTTGTTTCAAGAAGACTTCTGTTACACTCGTATCCACCAGATAGTTACTCAAAAGTTCTTGGAAACCTTTTTTTTATTTGTTGCATGTAATACACCCTTTTGTTAATTTTTCATTTATAATCTTTTTCATTCCTATTTTGGTTGATTAACGTTTTCATCCAGCTATTCTCCATTCAAACATAAAATAACCATTTTCTTTAGGGATTCTCCTTTGATTCTAATACTTGTGTTATTGTTCTTCATTTTTTCTATCAATTGTTTAATTTATTCATTCGGCAGGGTTGAGGTTTTTAAGTTGCAATGTAGAATTGGATGATATAGTTGGCAATAGACTATGGCTATCATGGAAATGATATTTAGAAAGGGTATCAGTCCGACAACGGACAAGAGTGGTGCACAAGAAGAAGTTTAAAATTAAGAATGAGAGACCATGCTTCATAAGTAGTTTCATTATTGTATTAAGGATTTGTTCAAAGGCCTCTTCATCTTTTCTATTGACGCAGTTCTAACGTAAAATTCAGTGTCAAGATAATATGGATTTATTGGTGTGATTAGGTGCTGTAATTTTTACGGAGTAGAGTTATGAGAGTCCCTAATAAAAAAAATCTTTCTCCCCCCACCCCCCCCAAAAAAAAAAAAAAAAAAAAACAAACCCCCCAAGAAATAAACAAGGATATACATACATACATACATACATATATATATATATATATATATATGTTTGAATGTGCAATTTTAGCTTATCATGTAATGTGATTTTTCCATAAATAAGAAACATTTGTTTGCAACTTCTAATGTTTATTTTGATGAGCAATAGGTTGACTGGTAAGTGTGGATCATATCACTCAATGTCACTAATCTCTTTCCATTACCTTCTTAGTGTGGCTATGATATGAAATCGATTGAGTGGCCTAACGATGGGGATAAAATGTCTCCATAGTCGCTCAAATTTCTGGTATAATTGTGCGATTTTTTATATTTTAGTGCTAGAATAGATTTATTTATGTTTCGGCCACATTTAATTTTTTTTCTTTAAAAAACGAAAAATAGGAAAAGAAATCACTTTGTGAGTGCACATAATCCCCACACCCAAAAAAAAGAAAGGAAAAGGAAAAGAAAAAAAGAGAAGTTTATAGAAATAATTTATTTTTGTGTTATTGTTTAGAATCATATCTTCATCTCAACACATATATACGATTGAGAAGGTCCAAGTATAAATCTTTCATATAGTTTATCTAATTTGGTATTTTCTTATAATTATTAGTTACAAAATCAACTGTGGAGGTAATTTTTAGTTCACAAGGTTTTGATTGATCTTATAAGTTTTTTATGAACTGTTTACACATAAAAATTCTTGACTTTACATCTAATTATGGTATTTATTAAAATCCCTTAAAGCAATTTACACAATTGCATATAATCTTATTCTCTTTGCACATTTTTTTAATTCTATACCATGCACAATCTTCAACTGTAAAAAATCATTTTGTTTCTTTTTATCCCAAGCGGCTATAGCAAGAAGAAAAAAGTTAAGTTTCATTGGAACTGAATTTCCAATAGTAACACCATAATGTTTTTGATATTTAACATGACCATACACTATAATAGTGAAAACAATCCATATTGCAAAACAACAAAAATATAATGCAAATTAGTTCACATGCAACGCATGTGTGTATCAACTAGTAAAAATAAAAAACAAACAATAAATCTATACTACGTTAAAAAGTGTGTATATTAGAAAAACTTTTTTTTTCCACCTTTACCCTCCACTAATACAATTATACCACGCCTTATCTTACTAATACNAGGTTGACTGGTAAGTGTGGATCATATCACTCAATGTCACTAATCTCTTTCCATTACCTTCTTAGTGTGGCTATGATATGAAATCGATTGAGTGGCCTAATGATGGGGATAAAATGTCTCCATAGTCGCTCAAATTTCTGGTATAATTGTGCGATTTTTTATATTTTAGTGCTAGAATAGATTTATTTATGTTTCGGCCACATTTAATTTTTTTTCTTTAAAAAACGAAAAATAGGAAAAGAAATCACTTTGTGAGTGCACATAATCCCCACACCCAAAAAAAAGAAAGGAAAAGGAAAAGAAAAAAAGAGAAGTTTATAGAAATAATTTATTTTTGTGTTATTGTTTAGAATCATATCTTCATCTCAACACATATATACGATTGAGAAGGTCCAAGTATAAATCTTTCATATAGTTTATCTAATTTGGTATTTTCTTATAATTATTAGTTACAAAATCAACTGTGGAGGTAATTTTTAGTTCACAAGGTTTTGATTGATCTTATAAGTTTTTTATGAACTGTTTACACATAAAAATTCTTGACTTTACATCTAATTATGGTATTTATTAAAATCCCTTAAAGCAATTTACACAATTGCATATAATCTTATTCTCTTTGCACATTTTTTTAATTCTATACCATGCACAATCTTCAACTGTAAAAAATCATTTTGTTTCTTTTTATCCCAAGCGGCTATAGCAAGAAGAAAAAAGTTAAGTTTCATTGGAACTGAATTTCCAATAGTAACACCATAATGTTTTTGATATTTAACATGACCATACACTATAATAGTGAAAACAATCCATATTGCAAAACAACAAAAATATAATGCAAATTAGTTCACATGCAACGCATGTGTGTATCAACTAGTAAAAATAAAAAACAAACAATAAATCTATACTACGTTAAAAAGTGTGTATATTAGAAAAACTTTTTTTTTCCACCTTTACCCTCCACTAATACAATTATACCACGCCTTATCTTACTAATACAATTATACCACCCTTATCTTCCATAATTAATAACACGCTAAACCTAATCATCAAATCCAATTTACTTCTTACCCATTACTGTCTCTCTCTCTTCTTGTCCCTTCTGTTCCCCTTTACTTTCCTTTCCTTTGCTTTCCTCTTCCTCTTCCTCTTTCACTTCAGATATATCCTTTATTTTAGACATCCTTTTGAGGCAACATGCAACGTATATACATGTTCGTTAATCTTTCTTTCACAATGACTTGATAAATGTTGCTGATGCGGAAAGTGGTGCTCTTGGCTGTCGAGGATTCCTTTTGAGTTTCAAAACCACCCAAGGTGGTTTATTTGATCCAAAAACTCTCTGAGTGAGCCCTCAAAACCTTTTTTTCTTTAGTTACATAATATTAACATTTTTTTGGTTGTTTTACCTCTCTGTGGTATGAATTTGACAAAAAAAAAAAAACACAGTCAAAAGGGATTATGCCCGCAACCACACTATAGCTGACCAAAGCACGAAAGGATGGTAAGAGGAAGACCAAAAATAAACAACAAAATCATGTCGATGCCAGTGTTCAGGTTTATGTTTCTCATTGCATTTGTGTTGTTCATCTAATTTTGTACTTGTTTTGATTTTTCAATTTGTTTTCCTATTTTGGGGTTTGGTTCCCCAAGGGTCTTCTCATAATAGTTTGTTGTGATCTTTTGTCGAATTGGATTTTGAATTTATTGTTTAGATATTGGTTTTTTGTATGTTTAAATCGGTTGGACATCTCTGCGAAATTGTACGCTAGATAAGATCTGTTAATAGTTATTAATTTGGCTTTAGAAATTTTGTCTATTATGTTATGGGTATTCAAATCTTCATGCACTCTATTGCTATTTATGTTCGCGGACTTGTGTTGGCAGAGGTATAAGTAATGCAAAATGA